GCGCGCTTCGCGCGCCGAGCCAAATCCCTTCTTTCTCCGCTCCTCGCCCCGCACCTCCCGCTCCGCCGTCCCTTCGTCTCTGGTCCACCATCGTTGCCGGCGTTCCCCGCCCCGCTGCTCCCCCGTCCTCTTCGCTACTGCTCTCGTCCTCTCTCCGGTCTTCGTCGCCCCTTTCCCCCTCGTCCTGCCACGCCTACCGCCCCTCCGTGCTCACTCTGGCTGCAGGTCGCGCTGCTCTCGCCACACTCGCCTCAGTCCTGCTCGCCACCCTTGCCCAGGCCGTTACCCTGGTCGCTACGGTTGGCACTCCCGTCCGCCTCAACCTCCGTACCGGCGAACCCGTGGCCCCCCGCCCACACTGCCCCCTCCCTCTCCCCGCTTCTGCTCTCGACTGTTTCGCCGCCGCCCGCGTTGCCTGGCGCCTACGCCGCGAGGCGCCTCGCTTCCTCAATCCCCGCACTCCCACTTCCGTGCCCCTATCCTTTCGTTATTCTATGGCTCTCACGCTCTAGGCACACGCCCGCGCAATCACACCTCACCCGCCGCCCCGCCCTACTCCACCCGGCCCCTCTACTCGTGCGGCTCGCCCCGCTCCCTCCCGCCCTGCGGCGGCCTTGCCCTCTCCGTCGCCGGCCTCCGCCCCTGCTGCTGCTCTTGCCGCTCCCAAGTAACCGTCGCCTCGCGTGCCCGGGCTTGCACCCCCACCTCGCCTTCCGCTCCACCCATTTCGCCGCCTGTGCACCTCCCGCTCGGCTTCCTGCTCCGACCTTTGCAGTTACTGCTCCCGACGTCCCCACCCTTGCTGCTGCTGCCGCTGCCCCTGCTTCGTCGCGTGCGCTCTCAGCGACTCTCCCGCCCTCTGCTCTCCTGGTTCCCCTCTCTTTCTGCCTCCTTTGACCGCCCTACGATCCCTCCTCCCCTTATGATGCGCTTCTTCCATCCCCCGCTTGCCCGCCTCTTCTTGATCAAGTCGATCACAGCTACCTTCCCCTCTGCACGCCGTTTCCGTAGGCCCTCCTTCTCGTCCGTCGCGGTGCCGCTCCCGCACCCACAGTCATCGCAGTTAGTCAATCTTCCCTCTCGTACGCTGCGAACCCCGCGGAAGGAGCGCAGCGCGACCGAATGGGCGTCAATTCCCGGCCCCACCTCACCCGCGCGCGTCTTCTTGCGCTGCCGGCTGCGACACCTGCCCGCCTCGCAGCGACGGTCTTCGGCGTTCCTCGCCCCTGCCCCTCGCGCCGGCGCGCCGGCGCTCGCCGCCACCCCCTTCCCCCCCGGGCACGGTCCGGCCCCTTCCGCCCGCGCTCCGCACCCACCACTCGGGCCTCGTCAGCGGCCTCTGCCTTCACCCACCGTGCGCGACCCTCGCGACAGCGTGGCCATGCGGGCCCCCTCGCCCCCCGCCAGTGACACACCCTTTCCCCTCGCCGCTGCCGCCTCTCAGGTCATGCGGAATTTTTAAATGACCCACGTAATTTCTGCCCATCCCGTAACCGCCACGTGTCCCCGTGGCCGTGACGTGTACGCCGTGTCGCCCCCGTGCGCCCAAAATTTGTTTTCCCGCGAAAAGGCACATCGGAAAAATTGAAAATATTAGGCGCACCAATCAGCACGGCGGCTTCTACAGAGCGCACCAATGGCAACACGGGAATGCACAGACGCACAGACTGTCACGCCACGTGTCCCCGTGGCGACCTGGCCTGCGGCCAGGCCGCCCCGCACGTGGCCGCCACTTGTCACCGCGGCGCCGCCCCCGTTCGCCAAAAGAACTGGTCAACCAAATATTGCTGAAAGAGTCGCGCTGCGTGCAAGATTGTGCTGAACTCACCTGCTCTTTCGAACAAATGCCATCCGTAGTACATCATCGGAGTAATCTTGGTACGTCTGCCGTCGTCATCACTGGAGAATCGAAGCTCTGGATACCATCCATCTCTACCGTTCGGGAACAAAAGCACGTAACTCAACGGATCGTATGCACGATGACTGACTGAAATCGGATCCAGCACTTCGTTCCCGTTACTGTTCAGAGTCCCTCGCCTGCGAACGACGATATCTCTTCGCCCAATCTCTCCGTCTTCATTTCCAGGGATCAATGCTGCCACTTCAGAAGCTTCGTGACCATTGTACCGGCGCACGTGCTCATGACTTGGCCTGCGGTCGGCATGGATGACCATCTGGTACGGGGCTGGAGTGTTGGGTTGAGGGGATTGAGCCCATTCTCGCATACTGAGAACAGTCTTCACGTAGGGGTTGCATTCGTGCAGCATGTGCGTCAGTTGCATGAACAGTGTGTCTTCCAGCCGTGTAAAGGCTCCGCCAAGCCTTGTGCGCGTTTGAGTACCGTAGTCAGTGTCGTGAATGTAAACGGAAGCAAAGGAAGGCGCCCGCCCCTCGGATGGCATCATGGGACCCATGTAATGGTACATCTCGCCCTGCATCGTCATTGTGGGGTTAAAATTGGAAGTACCGGGCCCTCTGTTCACCCATTTGGCGACCACGGACGCCATAGACAGCGCTGAATTGTATGCTCGAATGTTTTTACGGAAGCGGCGGGCCCTTGGAGTATCATCGATGGAAAGAGAGCGCAGAAGAGCTGGCGGGTGGGTGAGAAGGGGCAGTGACAGCTTCTCCTTCCCACAGCATGTGGAAAACATGGGCCTTGCGGCAGAGCTGCTCACGATGCGTTCTTGGACGAAATGCAGAGCTTTGCAGTGCGAACACTCAATATGGACCATGCCGAGATCGCGATACGAAGGCGAGGATTCGGGTAGTGGGGGGAAGAGCTGCCGAGAAGCCGTTCGAGCCTGGCCGTCGGATCGTTGCCGGGCATTCCGAGTCGGTGTGTCTTGTGCATCCCTTGATCGTTGGGTGGATAGACGGTCAAGGTCTCGCCGCGCCTCACGAGCAGGAGTAATTTCCTCGGCTCTAGCTCCTCGTGTCGCATTGCGATCCGCTTCGCGCCGTGCATCTCGGAGGGGGGTATTTTCTTCCGCTCTAGCTGCTTCTGTGGATCTCCGGTTTGAGTCTTGACGCTCATGTCTCTCTGGAGTTGTCGCGTCAGCTCTTCTCTGTTGCATTGAGACACGAGAGGCCTCCAATCGAGTTATGCGGTCAGGAGTGCTCTCAGCCTGTCTCGTGCGTTGCATAGATGCTCGATTCGAGGCTCTGGCACGTTCCGTTGCTGCTCGGAGCTTTGGAGACTCTCTGGGACCCTCTGTCCGTGATTGACCGGCTCTGCGCGCCCTGGTTCTCTCCCTGTTTCGACGAAGACTCTCTTCGCGCTGCTCAGAAGTCTCTGCTGCTCTTCGTGCTGCAGTACGTTCCCGGGCGGTTTGGCGACGCGCTTGAGCCTCAGATTCGGTGTGTTGTCCCCTCCGGATTCTCGCCCGAGCTCGACCTGCCTCACGACGTGCTTGAGCTTCAGGTTCCGACTCTTGCGCTCTCCTTGCCCTTGTACGCGCGTTTCTTTGCTGCCTTCTTGCTTCTGCTACGTCTTCATCTGCTGGTCCCGCCATTTGTGTTATGCCCAGCGCGCTAGTGGTATCTCAGCAAGTGCAGCTAGGGTTGACGCAAGTGCGAGGGGTCCGTTGTAGATCGCTTTGAGTCGTAGCAAGCAGTCCTCAAAGGTCTAAACGCAACGTCAGCCAGCTAGGTCGTCCGCGAGAGCACTTAGCAAAAGAAGTAACAGTAGGGCCTTTATTGTCTTGTACTATCCCGTGATCGATTAGAGCTTCTTCTTGTGCTTGTTGCCCGCCAGGTGTCGCCTAAAGTCGTGGGCACTTGCCACCGTGCACATACACACCTCGCAGCGGAATGTGCGGCCCGCTTGAATCACTTGAGCCACGTGCCCCTCGGTATGCGCATGCCCGTCCCACAGTACCGCGCGCGTGCAATGAAAGTTGCAGATGTCACACGTGTACACGGGCACACTCCGCAACACAGCACTGACAGCTGGCAACGCGCGCGCACGCGGACGCTCGATTGCACGTGGCACACGTGCAGCTGGCAACGCGCGCGCACGCGGCCGCTCGATTGCACGTGGCACACGTAGCCCACGAAATGTAGGAATGATAGGCGGGGGCAAACGTATAACACGTGGGACCGGAGCGCGTGGTACACGTGGTGCGGGTGCTGGCGCAGGGGCACGTGGGAGCCGTGGCACACGTGGGAGCGGCGCGCGCGGTACACGTGGGGCGGGCGCGCGCGCAATTCTGGGGACGTGTGCACATGGGGCGGGCGCGCGCGGAGGAGCTGGTTGTAGGACTGTGACACGTGTGGTCGCTGGCGGGGAATCGCCGAAATCGAGGCGGATCGGGGTCGCGGCGCGGCGCGCGCGGCGTAGTTCTTCTCTCTCTTCTTGCGTAGACACTGCGTAAAAAACCACACACCGTCAAATGTCAGTAAGCGTTCGCGTACGCTCTAATACCGCGGGCGGCAAGCCGGCCGGAGCAAAGAGGACAGTTAGTAACTTACTGATTTCGCGTAGACGGTGTGCGCCGGGATCGCTAGCGAACGCGAAGCGGATCGGGGCTGTATTAATATTTTTACTCTACTGTAGTGTTAAATTTAAATTCGTAAACTACTGTAGTGCCGCATTGGTGCCCGTGGTAGCCACGTGTCCCAGTGGCGGCCTGACCTGCCGTCCCGCCACCCCCAGTCCGCACAGTACACTTGTCACTGTAGTAAAAAATGAATTTAAATCATGGCCCCGCCGCTTTCTACACGTGTCCGCGTGGCCGCCTGGCCTGCGGCCAGGCCGCCCCGCACGTGGCCGCCACTTGTCGCCGCAGCGCCCCCGTGCGCCAATGAGAACCCGTGCGGGAGCGCACGAACACACATACACAAACACACAGACAGACAGACACGGAAATTAGTATACGCGGGGACAAGTGGGCTCCGTGCGCGCTTCGCGCGCCGAGCCAAGTCCGCGTGGAGGAGCAATAATTCGGAAGGGTGGCAAGGGGAAGATGTAAAGAGAATGGCGTTTACTTTTTTGATGACTACTGAAGGACCTCGCGGTACACTACGTTTCGCGTTGTTGCATCGGACTCTGAAGTAAGTATAGTGAAGTTGCTTGGGTGAGTAGTCCTCGATAATGCGACGTAGAGTTGACCGTGCGAGAAGCAATGATCTCGTAGGTCGAGACCAATGCGGCCACCGAATGACTGGCCTTGGGCTTTGTTCGTTGTAAGGGCGAAGCACATGCGAATGGGGAACTGCTTTCGAGTAAAGCCAGGGATGGGAAAGTTGTCGTCGCCTGGTCCGCAGGGCATTCGTGGAAGGCAGAGTCTGTTGCCTTCATGTGACCCCGAGGTAACATGTAGAAAGAGTAGGTTGTTGGTCATTTTCTCGATGACATATCGTGCGCCGTTGACGTGACCGGAAGTGGGATCGAGATTGCGCCGAAGCATGACGATGAAACCTTTCTTGAGCTTGAGCTTGTGGTCTGATAGAGCTGACCCGGCCGTCAAGGTGTTGAGCATTTCTGTGGGATAGATCAGCGCGTTGGTGTCTTTGCTCTCGACCTTGTCTGCGCTTAAATATGTTCGATACGGTCCCGGCATCATGTTGCCGATGACTTCGTTGACCTGCTCGAGCAGTCTGTTCTTTGTGGTGAGTATAACGCGCTTGGTGAGCCATGTAGGGTCGGCGTGATTGTCTCGAACGCCGTGGAAGACCTTGAGGCATAAATTGCGGATGGTGTGCTCGAACGCTGCAGACTGTGGTAGTGAGATCCATTCCGGGCGCTGTTCGCATTGAAGTCTGCCTTCCCCGACGCTGAGGAGGAACTGTGGGAAGTTGAGAGCCTCCACATCTGCTGCATGGTCCGCTGGGAGAGCAGCGAGGCGCATGTTCTCGGTAAGGCACAGGAATCGGCACTTTCGATACAGCGGGGAAGATTTGACGCACGCGCTCACGATTTGACCTCTGGACCCGCCCGGATCGACGGGAAGGATTTTTCTAAAGTCTCCAGCGAGCACGAGGAACTTTCCTCCGAAGGGCGGGTCGGTTTGCATCAAGTCACGAAGGGAGCGATCGACAGTCTCAATGCAGTTTTGATGGCACATGACGATCTCGTCCCATATGATAAGATCGACTTGTTGCAATGTACGACCGGTATCGGAGTTTGTGGAGAAGTTGCAAGTGCTTTCGGCAGATACAGGAATGGGAATCTTGAACACGGAATGAGCGGTGCGTCCACCGTCGAGCAGCACAGCAGCAACAGCAGACGTAGCGACAGCGATGACCTGCTTACGGCGCGTACGAAGGAAGTCTTGAATGGCGCTGAGCACGAATGTTTTGCCTGTTCCGCCAGGAGCATCGAGGAAGAAGAGACGACTACTTTGTGTTGGCATAAAAGGTCCCGCAACGGCGCTTGAGGATCCTTGAAGCAATGCAGAGACGGATACGCCTGGAAGCATGGAGCCTACTATTTCGTCGAAGGCATGGAGCTGATTTGTGTTTAACAGCGGCAACGATGTCTGTAGTCGCTCTTCGCACTGCTGCGCTTGTGCTTCGGGTGTCTGGATCTCGTTTGGCTGTTCCAAAGCGGGCAGGCTGTCATCGGGCAGTGGGAGTCCGAGGTGTGCGAGCGTCCAGTTGGAACGCACCGTCTGCAGGGCCTCCTGTACCTCTCCAAGCACGTAAGATGTGGCGTGGTGATCATCGCGAAGCTGCTGTCTTCGAATGGGTTGTCCGCGTGCGCGATTGCGAATTTCGGTGAGAAACATGTGCAGGTGGTCGTTCCACAGCGAGAGTGGATCCGAAGGTTGGCAATGTGCCAGAACCGTAGCGAACAGATGAGAAAGGGGAACGAAGCTTGACCGGAATGAATCTCGGCACGCACGGCGTGCGTCCACTCGGCATCGTCGGCCAGCAAACCAAGTCGTAAGCAAGCTTATCGGAAGCTGGTGCACTGCTCGCCGTCGATGTTTCACAAGTTCTCGAAGGATGTCGCCCCCGGCACTTGTGTGAGGAGGAGGCGAAGAAAGTAGCGCTCACCCTCCCTCGGACTGACAGAATAGATTCGACCGACTACGTTGGCGCCTGTGCCACTGAAATCGTAGGCTTCCTCTTCGCTGCTGGCGTTCCGTCTTCGCAGGGATGCTCTTGGAATCCATGCCTTGCTGCTTTTCTTCCACGTAAAGTACTTTGGAAACTTGTGGTACCGAATATGCCTCGCGCTTGGGTACTTCTCGTTGGCTTTAAACCACTCGGTAAGCTTCGTACCTGATGCCGGTCGAAGCGCCGCCTCCTTCTCTCGTTCTTCCTCAAAGTAAACCGTATGGTGGTTGGGCAGATGCACTGAAAGTCTGAACACTGGAGGATTGCGATCCACAATGTCAGAGGAGAATAACCTCCATGCGGCCTCCGATGCAGACACGTATCTGGCATCTTGGAAGTTGGAGATCTCGTCGTAGCACTCGTTTTCGGCAGTGAATTCCATGGTCACTCGGTCTTGTCCCTGGCACACATACTTGAAGAGGTATTTGATTCCGCCAACGCGTCACACGCAGAGTTTCACATTCAAATGGCAAGCGAAAGATCTTAGAAGCAGAGGGCTGTGGGGCACGACCCAGGAGTTTTCGACCACGACGGATTGCTGTCGTCGGCCAATACGGGAGGGACGCTCGATGGAGACGCCACCTGCAGAGGGGGACCTTCTGCGGTACGTGATGTAGTACTCACTTTCGGACTGCTGGTTTCGTGTTTGAACGGTTTTGGAAACCTTTTCCTGCAGTACTGCTCGCCCATGCACACGGCTGCTGGATTGTGTTCTCCACATGGATTGTGAATCATGTGCTTAAGCACGACCTCTTGGAGTTCTGGATCTTGGCCAGACGGGATCTCGGCAGAGATAATGTGGTCGACGTTTTCGGGATTACGCAGATCATTATTGGAGACCTCATCTAGGAAAAATACGACGTGAGCGTGGGGAAGACTTCGTTTCTGAAATTCGATGACTCGTACATGGGCAACGACGGTTCCGAACACTTCCTCGTTGATGACCAAGGACATGAGATCCTTCATTTTGAGACGAAACGCACGTGCGCACAGATCCGGTCTGTTCTGAGGAATTTAATTGGGCAGCAGGGCTCTTGTGATCTCCGGCCAGCTAGGATTGCATGTCATGGTGAGGAAGATGTCCGGGTGGCCAATTTGGTTAGATATAGCAATGATGTCGTGCATCTGCTGCCTCATGTAGCGGTCACATCCGATGTGCGTAGAAGGGAGAATAAACAGTCGTCCCGCACGCACGGCGTCGGCTTCATCTTCAGCACGACCGGAGTCTCCTAGGCTGTCGCGCAGTGAGGTGTAGTCGGCGGCCCGAAGTTGTGTCTGGTTGTGGCGGAGATAAGAAAGCCTTTCTGCCTCCACTTTGCAGAACTGGTCAACCAAATATTGCTGAAAGAGTCGTGCTGCGTGCAGGATCGTACTGAACTCGCCTGCTCTTTCGAACAAATGCCATCCGCAGAACATCATCGGAGTTATCTTGGTACGTCTGCCGTCGTCCTCACTGGAGATTCGAAGCTCTGGATACCATCCATCTCTACCATTTGGGAACAAAAGCACGTAACTGAATGGATCGTATGCACGATGACTGACTGAAATCGGATCCAACACTTCGTTCTCGTTACTGTTCAGAGTCCCTCGCCTGCGAACGACGATATCTCTTCGCCCAATCTCTCCGTCTTCATTTCCCGGGATCAATGCAACCACTTCAGAAGCTTCGGGACCATTGTACCGGCGCACGTGCTCATGACTTGGCCTGCGGTCGGCATGGATGACCATCTGGTACGCGGCTGGAGTGTTGTTGTGAGGAGATTGAGCCCATTCTCGCATATACAGAAATGTTTGCACGTAGGGGTTGCATTCGTGCATGTGCGTTAGTTGCGTCATAAATGCCTCTTCCAGTCGTCTAGAGTTTCCAAGCCTTGTACGCGTCTGGGTGGCGTAGTCAGTGTCGCGAATGTAAACGGAAGCAAAGGAAGGCGCCCGCCCCTCGGATGGCATCATGGGACCCATGTAATGGTACATCTCGCCCTGCATCGTCATTGTGGGGTTAAAAATTGGAAGGGCCCGGCCCTCTGTTCACCCATTTGGCGACCACGGATGCCATAGACAGCGCTGCATTGTATGCTCGAATGTTCTTACGGAATCGGCGGCACCTTGGAGTGTCATCGATGAGAAGAGAGCGCAGAAGAGCTGGAGGGTCGAGAAGAAGGGGCAATGACAGATTTCCCTTCCCGCAGCATGTGGAAAACATCGGCCTTGCCGCAGAACTGCTCACGATGCGTTCTTGGACGAAATGCAGAGCTTTGCAGTGCGAACACTCGGTACAGATCATGCCGAGATCGCGGTACGAAGGCAAGGAGTCGGGAATTGGAGGGAAGAGCTGTCGAGAAGAACTTCGAGCCTGGCGGTCGGACCCTTGCCGCGCATTCCGAGTCGGTGTGTCTTGTGCATCCCTTGATCGTTGGGTGGAGAGACGGTCAAGGTCTCGCCGTGCTTCACGAATGGGAGTACATTCCTCTGCTCTAGCGCCTCGTGACGCAATGCGATCCCCTTCGCGCCGTGCATCTCGGAGAGGGGTTGTTTCTTCCGCTCTAGCGCCCCGTGTCGCAATGCAATCCGCTTCACGCCGTGAATCTCGGAGGGGGGTTATTTCTTCCGCTCTAGCGCCCCGTGTTGCAATGCGATGCGCTCCGCGCCGTGAATCTCGGAGGGGAGTTGTTTCTCCCGCTCTGCGCGCCCTTGTTCTCTCCCTGCCTCGACGGAGACGCTCTTCGCGCTGCTCCAGAGTCTCTGCCGCTCTTCGTGCTGCAGTACGTTCCCTGTTGGTTTGACGACGCGCTGCAGTCTCAGATTCGGTTTGTTGAGCCCTCCGGATTCTGGCACGGTCTCGATCTCCCTCACGACGTGCTTGAGCATCAGCTTCAGTCTCTTGCGCTCTTCTTGCCCTTGCAGGCGCGTTTCTTTGCTGCCTTCTTGCTTCTGCCACGTCTTCATCCGTTGGTTCCGCCATTTCTGTTCTGCCCGGCGCCGCGCTAGTGAAATCCTTGTATTTACAGCTAGGGTTGACGCAAGTGTGAGAGGTCCGTTGTAGATCGCTATGAGTCGTAGCAAGCAGTCTTCAAAGGTCTAATCGCAACGTCAGCCACCTAGGTTGTCTGCGAGAGTACTTAGAAAAAGAGTAACAATAGGGCCTTTATTTTCTTGTACTATCCCGTGATGGATCGGAGCTTACGCTTGTGCTTCTTGCCCACCAGATGTGGCCTGAAGTCGTGTCCAGTGGCAACCGTGCACGCACACACCTCGCAGCGGAATGTGCGGCCCGCCTGATTCACTTGAGCCACGTGCCCCTCAGTATGCGCATGCCCGTCCCACAGTACCGTGCGCGAGCAATGAAAGTTGCAGGTGTCACACGTGTATACGGGAACACCCCGCAACACAGCAGTGACAGTTGGCAACGTGCCCGCACGCGACCGCTCGATCGCACGTGGCACACGTAGCCCACGAAACGTAGGAATGACAGGCGGAGGTAAACGTGTAAAACGTGGGACCGTTGCGCGCGGTACACGTGGGGCGGGCGCGGGGGCAATCTGGGGGACGTGGACACGTGGGGCGGGCGCGCAGGGCGGGGCTGGATGAGCTACGTTGACACGTGTCGACGCATTGGGGGACTCGGAAAGTTCAGACGGATCGGGGTAGCGGCGCGGCGCGCGGCTCGCAATTCTTCGCGTTCTTCTTGAGTAGACACTTCGCAGAAAAGACAGACACCGTATATAGTCAGTAAGCGTTCGCGTGCGCTCAAATGCCGCGAGCAGCAAGCTGGCCGGAGCAATGAGGACAGTTATTAACTTACTCACTTCGCGTAGACGGTGTGCGCGGGGATCGGTAGCGACCGGGAAGCGGGTTGGGACTGTATTTTTATTTTTTCTGTACTGTAGTGTAGCATTCAAAATTTAAATTTGTACTGTACTGTAGTGCTACGATCGTGCCTAAAGCCACCACGTGTCCTCGTGGCCGACCTGGGGGGGGGGGGAATCGGCTCATGTATGCTGCAAGAAATGGTTTCGCTGTTGGAGCAGCGGGATTGAGAACAACCTGGACAAAATTGCTGCAGACGGCAGACCAGGTTATAACAAAGGCATTCCCTCTATGGATGCTATACGCACTTATCGCACCTTAAATCGTGGCATAACATATCGCAGTGGTGACAATAAAAACATCACGCGTTTCAAAGGGGAGAACTATGACCATGTGAAGTTTTTTGTTGACGCTCTTCGCCAAGTAGATCGGCGCCACCCTGGAATTTCTGATGATCCAGACTTAATTTGGAATATGGACGAGACACATATTGACGGAGAGTTTGGTGAGAGGGAGAACAAATTTAGATCCTCGAAAACGAACTATGGGGGATTCACAGCGACACAAAAGAGCTCTGGTAAACATCTTACGGCAACGATAGTTACTTCGGCATCCGGCAAAATTGCCCCACCATTTTTCATAGCTGCAGGAAAAAACGTAATGCAGAGCTGGTTAAAGCCTGTGGACAAAAGCAGCTTCACAGGAGAGAATGGGCATGTACACTGGCTCTTGTCTCCTAGATGGATGCTGAGTGACACGGTCATCCGTTGTACCGAAAAGGGTTCCATGGATATGGAATGCTACCTGTTTTTATCCAGCACTTTAACTGCTACATTCGTAAGTTCGTACCACACGAAAAACGTGTATTGCTCTTCTTGGACGGGCATGCCTCATGAAAAGGAATAGAATGGATTGAGTTGTGTGTCAGCCTCAATATTGAAGTCATGATTCTACCGGCCAATACAACACACTTTCTGCAGCCGTGTGACAGACTTGTGAACAAAATATTTCGGACTACAGCTCGGCGAACCCGGGACTCATTACTCAGAATGTCCCTCGTTAATACACACAGCATGGGTTTTAAGCTGAAGCTTGGTACCGCCGGCCATGCCTCTATTTCTAATGAGATTGTGAGAAAGTCTTTCTCTGAAATTGGGTTGTGGCCTATGGACTTTCGTTTTCTGAAAAACTTCGATAAGGGTGACAGCGTTGAGTCACGTTTAAGCTCAGGAGGAAATAGGCCCTACGATTTTCGGCCTGTTCTTAAAACACGGCATACTGAACAAGAAAAACTCCTCGAAGTTAGAGAAATTTTGGCGTCTGGACTCCCCGCGCCTGCTGCTTTACAGAAAATGACCATGACTCTCAAAACAAGGCAAACGGTTAACAATGTCCTGAGGCGTATAAAACCAGTACCGCGAGGAAAGTCAGCCGGAAATGCGTCTCTGGCAATAGCTTTTTGTGGTAAGAGGGCTGAGTATGTCACTGCGGACGAAGTCGTGCAAATAAGGAAGGACGAAATTCGTAAGGCTGCTGACGAAGCAAAAGAAAAAGAAAATGCTAAACAAATGCGCGCTTTAGAAAAGGCCGAATCTCAAAAGGCAAAGCATGAAGCACGACAGAAACGCGAGGAAGATCGCAGAATTCGTACTGCACAAAAGGCCGCTGAAAGATTGAGGAAGAAGCGACAAAGGGACGAGGAACATCAAGCCCGTAAAGCGCAAAAGAAGCTGAAAGATGGTCACGAATACACAGCGAATACACCAACACTCAACATTGATTCCATGGGCGCCACTGTCGTTGTTCCAATGGCTGCGGCGTCGGCTTTATTGCGTCTATTGGACAGCATTGATCTCCTGAGTAATCCTTGACTCGAAAATTCCTGTTTCAAATAAAGCCATCTTGCTGCAATTATTGTCACGGGCAATTAGAGAAATGTTTTGAACATTGCTGGCAGTATGATTCACCAACAATCATGAGAGGTTGTGTGGCGATCGAAAGACACCAGTGCGCGTCAGTTGAGACAGAAACAAAGAGAATGGGTGGGCTGGAAGCAGTTTTAATTTTAATATTCATAAAATGTGTTTCAATTTGAGCCATTGGGGAAAGGTATGCCGATTTTTTATTTTCAACACCTTTATGTGCATCAAGGAGTCGATTATCGCTATAATCTACATGGATGTGTTTACCTGTGGTGGTGGCCTTCTAGTTGCAAAACAAAAAGTGAAATCGCAGATAGCTTTGTTTAGGGAAAATGATTCACAATTTTTGTACTCATGTGAAAAGTAACGGTCCGATAGACACTACAGATACTCAGTCTTCTTAATGTGACTGGGCATTGCCTGCCACACGACTGAATGTGAAGTTATAAAGCGTGTAAAATTATGTCAGCTCCAGCTCCGCCACAATGTTGGAGGAGAATAGCTGTCACTCGTGTACACCTGAACAGAACAGCACGCATGGAGAAGGGGGGAGACAGATGACCGACAGCCTGCATCCATGAGCAACAGTAGACCGGAGAGGCTGACACGAAATATCATGGAATGGAAGTAAAATAGAAAGAGAATAAAGTGCAGGAGCATGCGGGACCTCGGAAGATGAGGAACCGGACATCGTTGTGTTGAGAAATTCTACGTTCTAACCCCTCACGTTTAGCGCTAGCTTCCCAGGCGTCTAAAGAAAATTCTTTCCTACAGGAGCGATTTGGCAACCAGGCTGCTGGACTACAGCGTGAGAAGGAGAATGTCTGAAAATGATTCAACCGCCGGTCAAGGCGACAACGAGGGCGTTGTTGGCCTATTTCAACCCATTACTCATCCTGTTCTGAAGAGCGTTGACCCAGTGAGGGTGCACGCATTCATGCGGGATCGAGAAAGGTATGAGACAGAGATAGACGAAAAAAGAAGGAGGTTCCTTCTCTTTCCAAGGCTAGCTACAAGGTATCTGTGGACCCTGGATTACTGAAACGGATGCACTTTCTCGGCAAGTTTGAGACAGTTGCAACTGGAACAGAGTACAGTAGTCTCACTGCTACAGACATACAGAAATTTGTGAAGAGCTTAGTAGAGAGAAAAGATGAGTCGTACGACGCAAACTTAATCGAGAAAGTGCTCAAGGGGCTCTGTATCCCGGCGCATATCGCCGATCCTGAAGCACGAATCTTGGAGTTTGCGAGTACTTTCTTCGAGCGGATGGAATCTATTGGTTACGATGATTTCAAGGACGACAACCCTAAAAACCCTGAAGCTACTACAGGAAAGGCTGTATCCTCGAAAGTTGAAATCAGTGATGCAGAAAGCATTAGATTATCAAGAATCGCTGCAATGCCACGTGTCTGGTTACGTAAGATTACTGCGCACTGAAGCTGCGGCTCACGATAGGTACAAAGTGGAGGTAGAAAGTGAGAGGCCCAGCTCGTCTAAAAGCTACCGAGGACCGCCGGAGAAAAGGGTTAAGGTGTACATGGATAAAGTCAAATCAAGGAAGGATAGAGGAGACTATCAGACTACAAAATCCAAGTTCCCACATTTTTCTCTCAACGAAGAATGCGCAAAGAAGGGTTTAAGGCATCCGGTTATGAGATGCAACAATACAAAGCGTGAAAAGGCAATAGAGCTGCTCGAAAAACATAAAAGGAAGCTCGACGAAGAGAAGAAGGTAGGGCAGGTCAGCGAAAAGGCACCCGAGGGAACTGAGAAAAGTACTTTAATCAACGCCTCGTTTGCGAATGTGCTTCCCAGAGTACTGTGCTCTGACATGGGCTCGGACATCAATCTCATGGGGCCTGACTTGCTCAAAGACTTGACGAAAACAGGAGCCAAGATGTCGGTCCGACAGTACAGTACACCTCGTAATTTTAATTTGGCGATACTGAAGGGACAAAATGGGGAAGACATTTATGTACGGTGCGACAAGGAAGTGATGTTGAACGTCGAACTTTTCATCAGGCATGGTTTCTACTTCGAGCTACGAAACATGGCGTGGTACGTCGCTACAACTGAAGTTGGAGAGCCTTTGCTTGGTAGACCAGTGCTGGGGGCGCTCGGCATCAATACAAAGGAGCTTCTTGTTGCAGCCATCGATAGGATGGGGCACTCTATTGACATTGGATCGTTGGTCCCGGATGAGGTCTATCCGAAAGGAAGTGTTGCACGGCTTATGCACCAAGGTATTTTCCACAGCGACGGAGAATATGTTGCCGACCACGGCGACAGCGAGGACGATACGTGGTTAGACCTCGGCGAGGACACCGCATCGGAGATTGACGAAGCCTTGGAGAGGCTGGTGCAAGAGTCAGTCGACAATGGGATTTCGGAGAATGGGAAAGCTCTGTTACGCGCTATGCTGGACCGTTATCGTGATGTATTTCGGCTACGACTTGGAAACGACCCCCCCGCATATGTTGAACCTATGAAAATTATGCTGAAGCCGGGAGCAAAACCATTCAGAGCGAAGCCCCGGCGATATAGTGCCGAAGGCAGACAGTTCATGGATCGGTATGTACAACGCATACAAGAATACGACTTCGGAAAGATCAATACCAACAGTCAGTGGGTATCAGCACCCGTCTTGGTGAAGAAGCCACCTCCAGCCAATTTCAGATTAACGTTCGATTATAGACCAATTAACGCCGCTACGGAACCGGTCACGTGGCCAATGCCCCACATCGACTCGGAGCTTGCAGACCTGGCAGGGAGCAACCACTTCGCGTTGATAGATTTCTCAAGCACATATTGGCAACTGCCCCTGGATGAGGGGAGCCAGAATCTGTTGAGCTTCATGAAGCCGACTACGGTCATCCAGCCGAAGCGGTTCACTCAGGGAGCTAAAAACGCCGGACCCAATTTTCAGTCGAAGGTTGAACCTTTGTTCGTGGACATACGTGTAT